TTTGACGTTTCCTGATACCAAAACTGATGATTTGAATAATAAAAAACAAATTTAAATTTCAGAAAATGATCCTCCAAACTACAGTAAGCTGCCAGTTTGAAGCGTTCCTGAACTTTCTTATTGATTGAGAATAAGAATAAGTTCGATTGAAGATTACAGGTTCAGCATCCAGTTATGCAGAAAGAAAATTCGTTTATTTTTTACTCATTTTTTACCAGAAACCTCTGAATTCTGTGTGGCAGCAGCTGGATTTCAGGACAGGATGTGAATGGTTTGTGTAGATGTTGTTGACTTCCTTTGATCTGCCCGAAACACAAAATATCTCCACATCTCGAGTTCATAAAGTCACAAACCGATCAGCAGCTCTGCAGCTTTCAGGGTTTTTCTGCTTCTTCTCTCATTTCCAGTCCAGTTTTTCTTCGTTCAGCCTTTTAAATCTGAGCCATTCAGGTGGAAAAAATGCCCCTAACTCAAGGGATGAGCCAGTTTCTGCGGTTTAAAGTGGATCAGAAGCATAAATATTAGTTTAAAAAGTCTCCATCCAGCTTTAATTTCTTCCTATTTTCCCTCAAAGCAGCCAGACATCCTTTAAAGGGTTTTTAGGAACTCTGATCCAGGATTTCTGAACTTTACCTGAGCTTTTGTTTGGATATTTTCTCCTTTTTCTCAAATTTTTAGTCCAATTTTCCAATTTAATGCAGAAAAAAGGCCCCTAACTCAAGGGATGAGCCAGCGTTGTGTCCAACTCAGCAAAGAGGCCGTTTAAACTGGACACGATGTAAGAATAGAAGCATAAATGTTAGTTTAAAAAGTGCTTTTTTTCACATTTTTGGTCCAGTTTTAATTTTTTTGAGTCAGAAAAAGGCCCCTAACTCAAGGGATGAGCCCCTCTGTGTCCTCCAGCAGAGCAGCAGCTTAAAGTGGATCTTCAAGCTCTTTGTCTTTGTTATTTTAAACTGCTGGATAGATGCTCCTGTATCACTGGAATCATTCTTTTTAAACATCTAAAATAAATAAAATAAGAAGCCCAATTTATTAGCAAAGGTCACCAAAAGTAATTAGTAAATCTTTTGAAAGAAGGCTCAACATTTGGTAAAAAAAAGTCTCCTTTTTTGGTAAAAAAAAAGTTTCTTTACAGAATAAAAAAAACTGGGTGAGTTTCTCAAAGAGAAGATGAGGTCAAGATCTACTTAAACTCTTTAAATTTAAATCTTTAAATCAGTCTTATGAGGATGGATTCTCTCGTCTTTGCATCTCCTTTCTATTTGAAAGGCGTTTTTAATTCGTATTTCTTTACGATCAGGTCAGCAAACACCAGCTTACCACACATTTCTGCCTCTTTTTACAAAACCGTTTATTGTCCACAGCCCCATGAGCTTCAGTCCAGTCTCTGATCCATGTAAAATATATATATAAAATAAATAACCGACCCCCGACCTCTGACCCCGGAGGCACTCTGGAGACTTTGTAGCAGGAGCTAAAAACATGATGAGGACGATAGATACACGCTAAGCACACGCTAAGCACACGCTAGATGAGGACGTCTACTGGGAACAAAAATAAAATATCATCTGCTGTGAGTTTTAAGAGTCTGGTGAAAGTGTCAGCAAAGAAAATAAATATACACAACATGTATTATGTAGTGATGTCAGTATACTGTAATTTATGTGTGTGTATATATATATTATATAGATATGTGTCTGTATATATATTATATATACAAATATATATATATACATACAGATATATATAAATACACACAAATACATATATACAAGTATT